TTGATTTATCTACCTCAAAATGAAATCTTTTCCACTAACAAAAAGTTACTCCGCAATAAATTTGCACATCAACTTGAAGTAAATTAAAGCCACTGAACAAGAAAAATATACACTTGAATTAGGTATTAGTTGATGAGCATCAAACCTTCTGTTAATTTATACTTCACTTGAATAGAAAAATATATACTAGAATTCTGGGCTGAACAGAGACGCTAGCTAAGGTAACGTTTTCATCCAGCTCCCATTTTTCAACTTAAGCCCCATGTAGCCTATTATCCAAACACACATATTTTACAATTGTTGACTTAATTTAAAAAATTTCAACCCATATGAGCTGAAATGGCTTGCCGCCTATAACATCCACTTCATCTTATATTAACTAGTAACTCACCCGTGCGATGCACGGTTGGAGATTTTTTTTCTATGTGCGTTATGGGAAATAAAAAGAAGTATATACCTATTTCGGGAATCGGGACAACATATATGTTGTAGCAATTTGATACATTTAATGTTGTGACACTAAGATAACTGGAAAAAACGCTAAGCACACATGTAATATTATTATGAGTGCTATTATATTGTACTACGTATAAGTTTATTTGATACAACCCTATTAGACGTTGTAGAACACTTCTTTGAATACAACATTTTGTCATTTTGAGTGTTTTTTTATCTTCATCACATTTTAAATTTTCAATCCACGGCGATTGGTCAACCTTGAAAGTGCAACATACAACTATACTGCCCGTGGATAAAAACAGGCTTTTTCAACAACAACCCTACGCGAGACAAAGATTGGCCCTGACTTTTATTTATTTTCATTGCATATGAAGTCATAATAGGATACTATCTACTTTGAAATTTGAACGGCAAGGTAGCATCGTAAGGGGTCAATGACAATCTTGGGATCGAAATTTTTGTCGAGCACTTACACAGGTTAATATTTTCCACAAAACATGATCACTGAGACTCGTTAAAATAAGATGGGTTCCATTGCATAACCCCATCGAATGGTCTATGTTGCGCAATAGCATGATAGGAGTCCTCACCTTAATGAAGTGTAAACTCATGATTCGGCACACCAGACAATTTTATACAATTCAAGAACTCTAGTGTGTGCAATTCGGCCATTAAGTCGGTCGTAAAATCTACCTTAGAAACGCTGTCAGAACTAAGATATGTTCTTGATACTTGACCAACATTAAGACAAGTCATATAGTCATTAACAGCTTCGACAACAGCAAGTGTGGGACCAAAATGGCACGGTCACGCAAACAACCTATATTTTCAGAGTTTGGGTTGGAGTTTTAGAAGGTTGCAAAAGCATACAAAAAGGACGCATATTAAACGGGCATACGTATTTATTGAAAAGATATGTACCCCTTATTTATTTATTAAAAATAAACATATTTTAATAATGTATTGAGTAGTTAATAGTATGCTGATACCTTCAAAACAATAATAGTGCCTATCGAACGACTTTTTCTTCATAGAATAAAAATCCACCGAACGGTATAAAATGTTTTTATTTTGAATTTATTGAATCAAACACTAACCTTATTGAAGTACAAAGTTAAAAGATTTTTGCTGACATATAACATGAAGTTTCAATTGTTAACGTTCTAGGAAAAGATTAAGAATACAAAATGAGCCTTGACGCAGTCATTAGTATAAATAATACTTTTTTCCTGAATATATTAATATGTATTTCTTTACCATTTTGTAAATAACCGCACTGTTAGACTGTGAAATTCCTCTTATACTACTCAGAAAGTAAAACAACATGAAAACAATTTTTTTAAATAACCCAAACAATTACAAAAATGAAAAAAAAAATTACAACCTATAGCCCATTTGTACCGCAGCCCAAATAATCTTTAAGGTAAACCCAACCTGAAAGTGACACCTATCCCAAACCCTTGCTTCTCTTCGCGGACAGAAACCAAACACGAACCGGCCTGTGAGAACTACGACGCGACTCACCCGTTGTTTACTCAAGCGCCGGCGACCGAACCGCTAGACGGAAATGACACACCGATCGCCAGACGGCAATTCCGGCATTCCGGCCACCTCTTTCCGTTTATGCACATTAACCGGCGTTACAACGGATTACGACCACACGACAACGGTAAGATCCGAAACCCATGACTACACCGAAGGACGTCGATATGAAAACGTTTTATAGTAAATTAACTACTACGTACATTTTAATTTGAGCTACAAATATTCCATATCTGCGGCCATTGCCTCACACGATGTTCATTACAGAGCCCAGCTGTTGACAATTGCGATGAAGGTGCAATTATCACGAACACATGCACGCACCAAATTAAATTTGTAGAAGTCCGTTTTCTTTTGGTTCTTCCAATATTTATGTCTATTCAATAATAATGTAATTAAAAAAAAAAAAAAACCTCAGAAGCCAATGCCACAATATATATACTAAAAACATACACAACCGTTATTCTACATGCATGATCAGAATATGTATGAGTTCATGCCATTAGCCAGCCGACCCCATATCCCCTAGAATTTTTATAAAATGTATAATTTAATACAGTGTGATATGACAGAGGAGTATAATTTTTAAAACATTTAACCGAGAACTATTTTTTGTGAAAATAATATTACACATTTTTCTAGATCCTCCCACAAAAGCAAAAAAAGAAATTCAGGAGGGACCTTTTTATACATGGAAATTATAATTTTGTGGGAGGGATGCACCAATTGTGAGCCAGAATGCAGAACAGGTGTAATAATAATGCCGCTGGAGGGACCTTTTTATACATGAACTCATCAACAGCAATATGGGCGAACGGTATGGGCCATTGCAATACACTGTTCAAACCTCTCCTTCCACCAATAAAAATAAAGTTAGGTGGACAGCAAGGCAAATGACGGCAGGATTTAAGGCAATAGTGTTCACCACCCATTTAGACCAATAGGAGCAGCATTAAATGCATTTAAAGTATTCGCACCTCCATGCCATGGAAAATTTAGCGTTGAACCTGAGCAAAAAAGATAATGCATTTGTGAAAGCGACACATTTGAGCGGGAAGACTGTACAGGTAAGTTCTTTTGCTTTTAGATTAAGGTAGATGTTAACAGATTTGTATTCACCACCACCTATGCGTAGCGAAATTGTAATACGTAATATATCGTAGATCGTACAATATTTTCATATTTTCATATTCCTCCCGTTTCATTTTAGTTAGGATGTTTTTATTTAGACTGTAATTTGCTGGTCTGATATGGTCTGGTCTGGTCTGAACTAGTCTGATCTGGTCTGGTTCCTTTATATTTTTATAACTATCCAAGTCTGGTCTGGTCTGGTTTGAACTAGTCTGATCTGAACTGGTCTGGTCTGGTCTGGTCTGGTCTGGGACGAATTACAGTCCAAGTAAAACATCCTTAGTCATATTACTAGTATTTTTAAGTCAATGATGTCTCAATTTTACCGGTTATATATTTATATACATAAGTATTTATAATGTGAAAAATATATAAAAATGTTCTTTGTCAAAAATATTATTATAAAACTATAAAAGTATAAGAATAATAAATTTTGCATAAGTATATAAGTTAAAATATTTGGTCAAAGTTTATCATCTTTGACTGGAAAAGTCAAAGATGACTAACTAAATTGGGATGAAGGTAGTATTATTTAATCTAGTTTGGACAATCGCACCTGAAATTGGCTTTTAATGGAGTACAATTATTAATTTTGATAACTTTAGTTTTTACGTCTAATCAAATATATTTCGGTAGATTCTATGGTACTCATAAGGTACCATACATTTGTCCAAATGGACTAATAAGAATGTAGCAGTTGAATTATTTAAATCTAAATTAAAAATGATAAAATGATGTGGTCCAATCAAATGAATGGTAGGTACGGTACCCCATTTTTTAGGAGGGTACCGAAGTTGTCACCATATATTTCAATCTATGCCGGAGTTATTGCCCGACATTACAAAAATGATAGGATTTATAGTTTTTTTTAGATTTAATAACTGCTCTACATTATTGTACTTTTTTTGTCACGATCACTGCATTTTTTGTCATCTCATTGCACTTTTGTCATAATCAGTGTACTTCTTATCTTATTCATTGCAATAAATACAAATTACTCACTGCGTTCACTATATTTTAAAATTCATTGCACACTGTCTTTCACCGTCCTCATTGTCTTCAACCTTGGGTTCGCCCTCAACCTTGACCGTCTTGTCAGAAGAATCTGTGTCGTTGGAGCGGTGGTACAAAAAGAAGAAAATGAGAAGGAGAAAAAGAAAAAGTTTGAAGAAAATTATCCTCAATAGTTTTTTCCTTTCCCTTTTCCCTAATTTTATGAAGATCGAAATAAATATGAAAGCAAGTAGAACCGTAGAAGATTATGCATGGCTCTAATAAGAACTGAATAAGAAATTAAGAATGTGATCCTTTAGTTGATGGCGAAGTCTGATAGGCCTGAGCAATCAAGTAGGCTGTAGGCCTACCATGCCATTGGGCTAGATCATGCATTTAAGGACAATTTGATCGACGTTTTATGAAGAAAATCGATTTTTCACACGGACAAAAATAAAAAGTATCATAGACATTTTAAACGAGAATTTTTCATAAAATATCTGTATTAAACAAGAATTTTAAAATGTCTGATAAAGACAAATCTTTATTTTTGTCTATGTAAAAATCAATTTTCTTCATAAAACGCCGGTCAAATTGTCTATAGACAATTTGACCGGCGTGTAATCCGGCCTAAGTGGCGGGTATAAAGGGAACTTTCCATAGGGAATACGTAAGAACTGAATTGGATAGAGGAATCTGCCTCTGATAGGTTGAACTAATTAACCCATTTAACACCACTCGTCTTCATGGACATTTGCCAAATAAATTTTTTTCCTAAAACTCTGTTCTACTTTTCTATTTTTAAATTTTATAGTCATTCAAGTCTGGATTGTGGGACATCATGGACATTTGCCAAATAAAAACTATTCCTAAAGCTCCATTCTACTTTTCTATTTTTGAATTTTATTCCATCCAAACTCAGTATCTCAATCTGAAATGAATTACAAACAATGAAATACTAACACTTCAAATGAAATTTCAATAATGGGGATCAAGAGTACAATCATAGCCAGTACAATTTCATAACCCATCATCATCTCATACTCCAAAAAAAATCCACTATATGAGCCTATATAGTGCATATTCTAGGAGTGAATTTATTGTTATATTTACTTGATCAGAAAATCATCTTACTCGGCTGAAAACTCATACAGCATGGTGTGCTTGTACTCCTCCCCGGGTTGAACAACAACAGACGGGAAATTTGGTGTGTTAATGGCATTCGGGAAACCCTGTGTCTCTAAACAAACGCCGGCGTGCTTATTATATACAGCTCCACCTTTACCAACAATCCCATTAACATAGTTAGCAGTATAGAACTGCATGCCAGGTGCATTGGTCCACAGGTTAAGAACCCTTGAGCTCTTGGGATCTTTGATCTTTGCAGCATGTTTCAACCAGCCCTCTTTCAACTCACCTTCGTAGTCGACCACATAATTGTGGTCATATCCTAAACCAACCTGTTGGATATCACGCCCGATCTTCTTTTCTGTTGTGAAGTCAAATGGGGTGCCTTTGACCGGTACTATTTCACCGGTTGGGATGGTGTTTTGATCAACAGGAGTGACATGATTTGCCCATATCTGAGCAGTGTGTTCAAGGATGTCACCGGAATTGTGGCCAGCCAAGTTCCAGTAGGTGTGTTGAGCCAAGCTGACAGGAGTAGGCTTGTTTTGGGGGACTGCTACCATGTCAAGCCTCAATGCTGTCTTAGAAGTGAGTGTGTAAGTAGCAGTGACTGAGAGATCTCCTGGGTAACCTACATATAAGGGAATAATGAAATCATAAACCCCGAGGCATCTAACACCCAACATTACGGCCACGTTTGGTATGCAATGCAATGGACTTTATAGTAGTAGACACAGAAGTTTAATGCAATGGAATGGGATGAAATAATTTCAAGTTTAAGACACAAAAGTTTGGTTATTCAAGTAATTCATACTCAACTTATTTTTATAATTTCTATAAACGAAGATAAATAAACAATTCAAAACGAGAAGAAAATTATAATTAAATGAAAAGAAGAGAGGCATCTGCAGTTGAATTTCCATTTTGCAGCGAAGACACTCAAATGTGGTGGAGATGGAAGTTATAATTAAGGACTCCCATATATTTTTAGGTGTCAATTTGATTACATGTGTTGCAGTTGGCCAATGCATTTGGAATCCTAACCAAACATTGTAATCCAGCCCATAAGTAATGCTCATTCTATTAAATGGTTGATTACAGCATATCAAACGCAGCTTTATATAAACATTAACAAGAGAAAAATAGTAAATTACCTTCTTCGCCATCATGGCTATGATATGCAAAGGTGATTGATGGATTTTCACCCTGCTTCTGGGCAGTAACCTCCCATATAACCTTGTCATACCCCTTGTGCCCACCTTCACCAACAAATATATATAAAAAATGCCAAGGCTCCTATTACTCTATATAAACTACTTCCTATCAATTACTCCCCAAGCACTTTTGGAGCAAAACATGTGAAGATGATTATTGTATAAATAAATCATGAAGCTCCTCAGCCTCAACCCAAACCAATTACGCGTAAGAACCACAAAGATAGCAAGCATAAGCAACACAGTCTTGTAATAGTTATAGTATTAAGTTATTAACGTGAAAACCTAGATGATCTGAACATCTGAATTAAGCACAAAACCGGTTACAAACTACTCGTACAAAAGAAGAATTGTTCTGGAAATATGAATTGAAGCAAAAGTCACCTCTAATAAAAGTAGAGCACAGCAATTCAAATGTAATTGAAAAAAATTGTTCAAATGTAATTTTGAAAATAAATAACGCTCTCCCTGGTTTCAAATAAAAATGGCAGAGCATTCCAGACTTTCCACATTTTAAGAAAATATAATAATCCACAGTATTCTTACAAACCTCCATTGGGGCTAAAATTGCTCTTTAATCTTTGACCATGAGAAAGCCCATCGCCAATTGCTTGCCATTCAGAATATTAGTATTTTAAGAATGACAATCTAAATACTACCACCTTCGCAAACAAAAACACAATTCATTCTCCAATTTTTAACTCTTTTGATCCAAGACAAGATATGAGGCCCAGCACTTCATTCTCCAATTATTTACTAATATAATAACGTCAAAAGGAAAACAAAAAATGTCATATTAAATCATATAAGCAAATCATATAGGTAAAATCACTAAGATTGCTTAGAATTAGTACCATGGAGACTGTTAGGTGGCTTGTTAATAGCAATAGAGTATTCAACTCCATTAAGAGTAAACTTCCCATCTTTGATCCTATTGGCCACCCGGCCAACAATGCAGCCAAAATAGGGTGCAGCTCCTTTCTGAAAAAAAAAAAAATCAAACAAAAGACCATATCAATGAAACAGTCAATCGACAAATCAAAACTCACTATCATAAAAACACAGATCAGTAAGTAACAATAGAATCAAATCAGGTAGTTTCGTAAAAATGGATGATCTTGAAACATCACTCACTGACTCACCGTGTAGGGTTCAATAGTATCAAATCCAAGCACCACATCATCCAATTTCCCTTCACAGCCCAGACCAACAAGACATAAAATCAAAATTGTGTCTAACAAAACAGTACATCAAAGAAGAAATCTGAAAGCTTTTTTCTTTTAAATGGTACCATCTTTATCTGGTACAGACAAGGAAAGAATAGTGCACCCAAAGTTGGAGACTTTCACTTGCATGGTGCCATTGTTTAGTTCAAAGATCTTTGGTTCCGCCATTTTTAATCAGAAATTCTGAATGGAGATGATATTCTCTGCGCAGATGAATAAGCAGGGGATGGGGAGAGTCAATTGAAGCAGTGAAAATATAGACTGATGGAGAAGGCATAGCACCGCCAGAGACGTAACGGGCCAGATCATTCTCGAAAGATAAGTGGACACCCAATGCTGACGCAATTCCGGTTGACATTGATTGGTTTTGAAACGGAAACTTTTTTTGGAAAAGGGGAAAGATGAAACAGAAACTTTTGAATCATAACGTAGAGAGTGTACAACCTTTGGAAGTTCCTAAATTTAATCGGATGGAAAATTAAAAATAAAAAAATAAAAATGATGTGATTGATAAATGAACAAAATTATAAATTTGTTATTTCAAAAGGAAAGCCACAAAGTTTTTTGAGACAAAAAATGAAAATTATCAAAGTGATGGAGAGAGTAATTTATTTAATTTTTATCTTCAACTTTAATTTCTTTACCAAGTTTGGAGATTCGGCTTTTTCTCAAATCAAATATTGTATAAGTCAATTATTGTATCTTCCAAAAAGAGAGGAGAAAACAGCTAAATAAACCCTCAAACTATTCGAGTGCCTATATTGTACACCCGGGTGTACGTACATCCGGTTTTTAAAACTGAGTAAATCGGTTTTTTATTACCAAACTCGAACTTGGGAACAGGATTCTTTCATTAAAAAGAATGTGAGAGGGATTCGATCCCTAGAACTGGAACATAGCATGCGGCCTCCAATCCATCTCGCCATCTTGCCTGGTTGAGAAATTCTGTTGTTTGATGTTCCTTATTCTATACATTTTCATACTCCGTACTACAATTGTGTTAATATTAACTATTCTTTTCTTTTGCTCATTGTAACTATATTAAAAGACTAATTCATATTTTTGAAGTATTTATTTTATCTATGAATCATACTATTAATTTATACAAATATATTTATAATTTTATTATATATTGTTAGGTTCCTAATAAGCCTGATGCTCATCGAAAGTGTTTTAATACTCATAACAGGTCTGATGCACATTAAAAGTTTATTAATACTCATTTAACAAAAATTGTGATTTTCATCTCAATAGATGAGGTTTGATTCTCAATGAATATGTTGTTATGTCAAACTAACAAACTTTACGATTTTCAAATCAAACTATTTTGTAAGTTACGTATGCTCATCTGGTACTGATCTTATGCTTATTTTCTAAATGTCATATCAATGCATTTGCTTTAAAGTACTATTTTCATAGGAGTTGATTAGAAATATAATTTAATAAGTTTTTAAAAAGGAAAAAATAACAAAAAGAAAGTGAATTAGAAGTTATGAAGCAAAGATCACGATTCTGAATATTAGACTTTTAATACTCAACATAATAGATTTGATGCTCATTAACAATTCATTAATGCTCATTTACCAGAAACCGTGATTTTCATCTCAATAACGGATATTTGATGCTCAATTAAAATTTCGTGATATTAAATTAAAAAAACTTGCGATTTTCATATCAATGTGTACTTTGTAAGTTGAACATCATGACATTTTAATTGAGCATCAACCTCCACTATTGAGATGAAAATCACGACTTCTGGAGAATGAGTAATAATGAACTTTTAATGAGTATCAGACCTATTATATTGAGTATTAGGAGTGTAATATAAAATACTCTGTATTACTTTTAAAATGGATTGATATGACATTTATAAAATGAGCATATGATCAGTCTCAAGAAAATCATACTTATCAAACATCGTCTATTGAGATTGATGAAAATCATGAATTCTATTAAATGAGCATTAATGAATTGTTAATGAGCACCAGACCTATATAAATGCATATTATATGAAAATGGTTAAAATTGTTAGTTAAACATCATGACATTTTAATTGAGCATCAACTTCCACTATTGAGATGAAAATCACAACTTCTGGAGAATGAGTAATAATGAACTTTTAATGAGCATCAAACCTATTATATTGAGTATTAGGAGTCTAATATAAAATACTCTGTGGTACTTTTAAAATGGATGGATATGACATTTATAAAATGGGCATATGATCAGTCTCAAATGAGCATATGTATCAAACATCGTCTATTGAGATTGATGAAAATCATGAATTCTATTGAATGAGCATTAATGAATTGTTAATGAGCACCAGACCTATACAAATGAGCATATGTAATTTACAAGATGAGCATTGATATGAAAATTGCAAGTTTTATTCGTTGAGCATCAAGACATTTTCGGTGAGCATCAAACCTCTGTTATTGAGTATTAGAATCTGCGATTGAGTATCAAGATTTGTGGTCTCGTGTGTATAATCAGCTCTTATATAAATCTTATGTAATATGAGACTTTTGAAATGTGCATTGCTAAAACATTTTAAAAATGAGCATAACCGAGATACTAAATGAATATGCATAATTTACAAAATGAATATTCAAAAATTCAAAAGCTTGTTTATGTATGTTCATTTTTTAGCTGTTTTACTGCACCAGCGGGTAAAAGAAGACCTGATTGTTTGAATTTCAATGAGTTGGGGGGTTTATTTGTACTTCTTCCGGTGCAGGAGCCTGATTGCAAAAACGCAAATAGTTCGAAAGCTTATTTGTCTGTTTTCTCATAAACGAGTTACTCCGTAGTAACTTATAACGTCACTAATGTTATATTCTTTAAACTTCGAGTCAGATACATAGGCACCACTCTCCTATAAACTACTATGGAGTATGAAGTATGTACTAGTGTACTACTATGTTGAATTTTAAGGGATACTCAACATAAAACTCTTAAATTAATTGTAAACTTATATGACAATGAGAATAATAAAATGTTGAAAGATAATTTCTTCTGTTGATATAGTATGTCGCACAAAGAGGTAATCAGATATTTTTGTCCTAGAAAAGCTTGCCTTTAAATAAGAGCAGGATGCCTCTCTTATAAGTGAGGTGGTTGGCTAGCAAATGGAGAGAGTATTGAAACATAAGTAGGCTAATTATTACAGTTTAATAAACTCAAAAATGAATAATTCATATTTTTTTTTTTTGATGAGAAGAGACTTAACTATCATTAATCAAATCGTTGGCCAAAGCCGGGACAATACAAGAAGGAGGAAAAAGAAGCCAAGATTGCGAGTCAGAAGTATTACGGAGTAGTTCGTTGCGTACTAATGGCTCCTTCATGGAGACTGTTTAATCTATCAAGCAGAACATTGAATTTGGTCTTCTATTATTAGGTATCGAGCCACGATATGAACCGGCCCGTGGCCTGACCCGGACCGATATGGTTTGAACCCGGCCCGGCAACCAGTCATAGGACCGGTCCGGGTGGCCCGAACCGGTGGTTACTTGAGGTGGGCTCGGGTCTGTTAAAATCGGAACCGGTCCGGCCGCGCCAGATCCGGGCTTTTTTTTCAATTTTTTTTGTTTCTCCCAGGTTGGGCTAGGTGTTTTGGGGTATGGGGGTGAAGGGGGGTGGGTCCATTTTCTGAATAATTCTTACATTCCATTCGAAGCCTCAACAAAATGCTGGTGATAGTGGTGAATGCCTTCCGACATTCCTAAAATACTAAAAGCAAATATTTTGTCCAAAGCATCAAGAGATTCAAGACTCAAGACTCAAGAGAATTGCATTGACGCCTTCATGCATTCTCAAATATTTTAAGCAATTTGGGTGCAACTGTGCAAGCTCCAATATTCCCTTAGTATTAATGGAAATAATTGAACTTTAAATTGATCTAATTGCCCGACCAGCTGTTTAATTAACCAAAATAACCATTCTAAATTCAGCTTTTATCAATTTTATGTAAATTTAAGAATATTTATTTCACCAAGTTTACTGTACCAAATTCAGATTAATTCAGATTGCGTAATACTCCGTAATAAAAAAATATTTTCCCTTTCCCTTCCTTTAAAGTACATGTATAGGTTTTACTTTTTGTGGATAGTTATCATTAGTTAATAGTTAGCAACTTAATATGCTTCAAGACATGAAGGTCGAAACTACAGTGCTTGTCTAAAGAAAGAGGAAATTAAGCACAATAAATCCGCAGGTTAGATTATCGTGTTGGGAGCAGTTGGCAACTTAATTTAACTGGCCCTCAACACATCCATTTCAAGTATGACTTCCAAATCAAGCCATATCTGGTGAATCCATATCACCTTTTCAAAAGCATCACCCTTGTTCAGTTTACTACCAACTATTTCTTCTTCTTCCTCCCACCCCCAACAGCTTTTGGTTTCTTGTTTGCCACTCCTTTTTCAGCATTCTGGGTTGTTTCCTGCCATTGAATAGGACATCAATTGATTAGATAACTAAGATTGAGTGTTCCAACATAGATCATATCAGGCATGATCCAGATAAGCAAGGCTATATTTAGATCGCAGAAAATGCTACGGGAAGGAAATAAAATACCAAAGGAAGTGGTTTTATTGTGTCCTGATTTACCTCAGCAGGAAGTCAAATGCAAAGGAAAATGAAATACGAAGTATGATTTTTTAAATTTATAAATGTTTATATTGTTTTAACTGATAGATATAACTGAACTCAAACCATTTTAAAATCAAATTAACTGAGTTTGAACTAATGTTTCTATTTTCCTCAAATTTTCTTTCGATCCAAATTTGCTCAACACTTCTCTTCCTAGTTTCTTTTACCCAGTATATGTTAGGGGTTCTAAAAGAGATCAAGTAGTTCAGAAAACATTATCAAGGAGTCCAAACTCAAAATACAATCATGCATGGTATTTGTACTTCAAAAATCAAAAGCATTGGCAACAGTAGTTAATAGTAAGTTAGCAGTATGTATAGCCAGTACAGCCTTAATGAAGACTGTATATCCTTAGCCAAAGATGCACTTAAGATGGAGGGTCGTCAGAGTTTACAGTTTCATATGCTGAAGCAGACACCTTTGTTATACAGCAAGGAGTAGTTAAAACTTGAATGATCAAATCTAAGGACCATGAGATTAGGATGCAAAAGACCCATGGGCATAAAGGAAGCTTGTATAGAGAACATTCTAAACTTTGTTACAGGAATTGAAGACACAAGAACACATCTGGTTCTTCCCTGAGATGCCAATATAGGAGATGTTAAGAAAACATACACATGTAGAATTAACAACAGAACATGGATCCTCTAATTTTCCATTTCAATTAGGC